ACGCTGTGATGGCCATACGTGTGAAAAACTGTCGTAAGTCACTTTTTTCAGTGATGTTGTAACCTTGAACGGTCACTAAATGGACTGTTGTAAGTCGATGACTACCTGTAATTGGCTGATTTTGTACAATGGGCCAAGATCAAACCAAACTAACCATTGTTCTGGCTCAACAATACAGGTAGTCCTCGACTTACAACAGTTCATTTAGTGACCGTTCAGAGTTACAACGGCACTGAAAAGTGACATGGCCATTTTTCACACTTATGACCGTTGCAGCATCCCCACGGTCATGTGATTTACATTAGGATGCTTGACAACTGACGCACATTTATAACGTTCGCAGTGTCCCGGGGTCACGTGATCCCCTTTTTGCGACCTCCTAACGAAGTCAATGGGGAAAGCCAGATTCACTTAACAACTAATTTAAGAACTGCAGTGATTCACTTAACAAACGTGGCAAGAAAAATCGTAAAATGGGGCAAAACTCAGTTAACAAATGTCTCACTTAGCAACATAAACTTAAGGCTCAATTGTGGTCGTAAAGTGAGGACTGCCTGTTATGTCATGGCTCCAGTCAGAGAGAAACAGAAGACCAGCTTCAGCAAATGTGTAAGCCAACATACCAAGTTTGACACACGTAGTTAGTCCTTGACTTACGACCACAACTGGGACTGGAGCGGTCATTAAGTGAGGTATCACATGGACGCTCTTGATCGGACATCCTTTTTTTGCCAGTTATGAAGCAAATCACTGCAGTTGTTAAGCAAATCATCAGCTTCCCCACCGACTTTTGCTTGTCGGGAAGTGCGATGGCCACCAATTGCCAATCGTGTTACTGCAGAACACAGCTGTCAGAAATGTGAGCCAATTACCAGGCACCCAAATTGTGATCACATGACAATAGTCATAATTTTGGAGGACAGGTTGTAAGTCACTTTTCCCCCCCAATTGCCACTGTATCTTTAACCACTGTTAAAAATATAATCAGTCAGAGACAAAAATTAAAAGCAATACTGTGAGTCCCCAAATATTGTAATGCAATGTCAGTCTACTTTACTTATTCCTTCCATAGGGATATGAGCCAACCAGCCACAGTTGCTCCAAAGTTTGATTGCCCCACTGTAGCCACCATCTTGACTTTTTGACCGTTGAATAAACCATGGATAAGGCAGCATCAGGCTTCAGAGTTCAGGAACTATGTCAAGGATGAAACTTTGGCAGCTACGTGCCTCTGCGTTTCAACTTGCTTTTAGATTAATGGGGGGTGGGTGAGGTGGCGACTTTCAAATGGATAAGAAGGAGAAACAAAACTTCGATTCAGCTGAAGACTGTGGGAACCTGAAGCCTTGTCAAGGACACCAGAACAGGTGTGGATTTGAAGCAGACAGTTCCCATAACAAAGTGAACTTGGTGATATGGATTACGTTAAGACATTGGGGGTTTGGCTGTGAATCAGTTAGTTTTGCTTTGACATAAGCATGCAGTGTATTCAACAAACAGTAAGCTTTTCAGAACCGGAATGAACCTGGAATTTTATTTGGATTCTTGAGATGGATGTTGACACTATGGTCCCTAGGGAACACATTTTCTAACATTTTGCCAGGAATCATGGCTGGCATCTTGAGAAGCCGAGTGACCTGCTATGCAAACATCAGACAACTGAGCAGAGACTGTTTTTATAGCCAGGTGTCCTGACTGCTGACTGGTCTTAAGTCAAGGTGGTTTCCAAACGGTGGAGGTTGGTGAGGGCCCATGATACTACAATTGGGATACTACAATTGTCATAAATATGAGCCAGTTGCCAAGCATCTGAATTTTGACGTGACCACGGGGATGCTAAAAAACAGTCATAAGTCACATTTTTCACTGCTGTTGTAAGTTTGAATGGTCACTAAAGGAATGATTGCAAGTCAAGGACTGCCTGTATCAGTAGTAAAATGATCTTATCAAGTTTTTGACTTCAAGAATTCGCCTGGATGAAACTTGATTTTTAGTAAAATAAGTGAACGTGGTTGCCTGGTTTCTCACTGACGCCTGTCCAAAAAGACATCAAGCAACAGCCAAAATAGGGAAATCCCACAAACATCAGCCAAATAATTTCTGATGGTTACTTTCCTCATCTAAAAGACCAATTTTGCTTTGTTCAACTGTGACAAAAACAATCCACAATTGAAGTGACGTGTGAATCCTAAATTGCATTAGCAGAGGGACTGAATCAAGATCACCTGAGGTACTAATACCACTCTATAAAGGCTTAGCAAGGTCACACCCTGATTACTGCATCCAGTTTGGGTCACACTATAGAAAAGATGTTGGGACTCTAGAAAAAAGAGTGCAGAGAAGAGCAACAAAGATGATTAAGGGCCTGGAGGCTAAAACATATGACGAACAGTTGCAGGCACTGGGCATGTCTGGTTTAATGAAGAGAAGGACCTGGGGTGACAGGAGAACAGTGTTCCAATATTTGAGGGGCTGTCACAAAGAAGAGGGGGGGGATCAACCTATTTTCCAAAAACCAGACAAGGAACAATGGATAGAAAACTGATCAAGGAGATTCAACCTAGAAATAAGGAGAAATGTTCTGACAGTGAGAACAATCAACTAATGGAACAGCTTACCTTCAGAAATTGTGGGCCCTCCATCACTGGAGGCTTTCAAGAAGAGACTGGACAGCCACTTGTCAGAAATGGTATAGGGTCTCCTGCTTGAGCAGGGGGTTGGACTAGATGACCTACAAGGTCCCTTCCAACTGTGTTCTTCTGTATATTCTGTAATTCAACCAGCAACCACAGTTTCCCATCACACTAATTATGAGGGCATTGGTTTGCTGTCCAAGCTTGTTTCAATATAGTTTCTGAACGTTTTGTTACCAAACTAGGTAACATCAGCAGCAGAATTTAATTGCATTATCCTCCTTAGCTTATAAATGTCTTGTGTGCCAGTGTGGTCAGTTGATGGTTATCCGTTTGGAGCTATGTTTAAATTCTGAGCAGCTGATTGGTTCTCTTGTTGATTGGTAGTTCAACTGTTGAACTGCTCAGAATTTAAACATAGCTCCAACAAGAGAACCAATCAACTGCTCAGAATTTAAACATAGCTCCAACAAGAGAACCAATCAGCTGCTCAGAATTTAAATATAGTTCCAACAAGAGTACCAATCAGCTGCTCAGAATTTAAACGTAGCTCCAACAAGAGTACCAATCAGCTGCTCAGAATTTAAACGTAGCTCCAACAAGAGTACCAATCAGCTGCTCAGAATTTAAACATAGCTCCAACAAGAGTACCAATCAGCTGCTCAGAATTTAAACATAGCTCTTTGAAAGGATCCCCCCCCCAGCCCCCGTCCTTTAAAACTTTGCAAAAAGACCGAGGTTGAGCCAAAAGGGACAGTTTGGGAGATTTAGGACCTGACTGCTTCCCCGCTCCCTTACAGGTAGTCCTCGACTTATGACGTTAATTGAGCCCAAGATGAAAGTAGTAAGTCGTTGCGGTCATAAATCGCAAATTGCAGACATGAGACCACCAGACATTGCAAATGGTTGTAAAGGTGAGCCAGTTGCCAAGTGCCAAAATCACAGGAGTATGTGTGTTGATGTGTGGCCCTTGTAACCCTAACGCAGGAGTAGGCAACTTTGGCTCTTTTATGACTCGTGGACTTCAACTCCCAGAATTCCTGAGCAAGCATGGCTCAGCTTGGAAACCTCTCCCTTTCCCCTCAGCATGGCTGGCCCAGGAATTCTGGGAGTTGAAGTCCACGAGTCATAAAATAGCCAAGGCTGCCTACTTCTGCCAAAATCTAAAACCTGAGCTACAAGTATTTTCTATTGCTTTAAAACTAAGTATGAGGCCTTGGCCTGCTAGCTAAATCAAAATTCAGGCATTTGACAACTGGCATGTGGTAAACATGGCTGCTGTCCTGGGGTCGTGCGATTGCCATTTACTGCCTTCCCAGGGGGCTTCAAACAGGCAGTCGGGGGGGGGGGAAAGCTGGATTCACTTAACGACCATGTGATTCATTTAACAACCGTAGTGAGTCACTTAATCACCGTGGCGGTCAAATTTGCAGAGCTTGAACCTTTGGGACCGTGAGTCCTAGAAACCCCCTCTTTGTTAGTAGAAAACCATTTTTGAAATACCTCCAATACATCCCCCAGTTCTTCTTCCTTTTCTCTGGAGAACCAGAGCTACAGATAGGCCTGTAAGTAAGCCAAATTGATCTGTCTAAACTTTCTACAATCAGAGCCCTTATTTTTTGGGGGGGGGGATGGAATTGTGGGGGTGTAGAACCCCTCTCCCCATATAATTTTGTAATTAAATTTAGATATTAAGCCTAAGATGATGAACCTTGTGTACTGTACACCCACTCCTTTTACTATTTCTCTGCTTGGAAAAAAAAAAAAGGCAGCCCTTGACTTCAAACATGAGATGGGGTGCTATTTTGCTTCCCGCAAAATATAATTCCTTCCTGTTCTAAATAGAATTTCCTCATCTAGTTCTTCTAGGTTCTCCAGGAGCTAAAAAGCCAACCAGTCAGATCTCAGATCTCAAAAATAAAAATAAAAATGGAAGTCCTCCTATGTAGACACTTCCGTTCTATTCCACACCTGGCAGATTCTTTCCTTCGGGACGAAGATCCACCAGCCCTGCAGTGTAGATCCAAAGTAGGTTCTGAGCAGAAGGGATGATCGTCTATTTACCCTTCTGATCAACTCTCCAGGCATCGTACCATCAGCATCTCCCCAAACCTGCCATATTTTGGTCTGGATGGATTGATGGGCATACACACACACACACACACACACACACACACACACACATGCCAGCCGGTTTGTTGTAACATCAGTGTTTGGAGAGAAAATCCTTTGTTATTGCACAATTGCTGAAAATACACCCCTTCTAGAGAAGAGGTGGAACTGCCGGCGAAATACCGAAGAAGCGACGGCTCCTTCGGAACAGCGAGATCCCACTGAGGATCCACAGAGGTCCATCTGAGGGAGATCTCAAGAATTCCCTTCTGTGTGGATTCGCTGATGACTAATGAGGTTTGAGCTCTGAGTAAAGCTTTTCCCACAGTCCAGACACCGGTATGGCTTTTCTCCGGTGTGAGTCCGCTCGTGTGCTACTAGGCTGGAACTGCCCCGGAAGCTTTTCCCGCAAACGGAGCACTGGAACGGTTTCTCCCCAGTATGGATTCTCTGGTGAGTAATGAGGTGGGATTTGTAACTGAAGCTTCTCTCACACACCATGCACTGGAATGGCTTTTCCCCCGTGTGAATCCTCCGGTGCGCGCTCAGGCGCGAGCTGACGCTAAAGCTTTTCCCGCACTCCCCGCACTGGTACGGTTTCTCGCCCGTGTGGATTCTCTCGTGGCTCACTACCTCGGAGCTGCGGAGAAAACTCTTCCCGCAAAAGGAGCAGCGATAGGGCTTCTCTCCCGTGTGCGCCCTCTCGTGGGCCAGGAGATCGGAGCTCTCGCTGAAAGTTTTCCCGCAGTCCAAGCAGACAAAGGGTCTTTCTCCGGTGTGGCTCCTTTGGTGCTTCCGCAGCCGAGAGCTGACGCTGAAGGTCTTCCCGCACTCGGCGCACTCGTATGGCTTTTCCCCCGTGTGGATTCTCTGGTGGCTGTTGAGGTAGGAGCTCTGGCTGAAGCTTTTCCCGCACTCCAAGCACTTGTAGGGTTTTTCTCCCGTGTGGATCCGGTGATGGGTAATGAGGTTGGAGATGTCGCTGAAGCTTTTCTCGCACACCGAGCACTGGTAGGGCTTATCTCCGGTGTGGATCCGCTGGTGGCTCACGAGACCCGAATTGCGGCGGAAACTTTTGCTGCAGTACAAGCATTTGTAGGGTTTCTCTCCCGTGTGGGTCCGCTCGTGGGCGATCAGCCCAGACTTCACGCTGAAACTCTTCGCACAATGGGAACACTTGTAGGGCTTCTCGCCCGTATGGGTTCTCCGGTGGGCGATGAGACTGGAGCTGACGCTGAAGCTTCGTCCGCACTCCGAACACGTGTAAGGTTTCTCGCCCGTGTGGGTTCTCTCGTGGACGATCAGGCGCGAACGAAGACTGAAACACTTCCCGCA